AATAATTAAAAAAGAAAAAAGAAAAAAGAAAAAAGGAGGCATTCTTCTGCTTCAAGAAAGGGAAGAAATGGGTCAGTAATAAAGAAAAGTTCATTCTTTCTTTTCTGTTCATACTACAGGAAGAATTTATTCCTGTAGCTATTGCAACCAATTTATTCCTAGTTGTATCCTCTGAGGATCTGACCTGTTTGTGGTTGTGAGCATTGTGTCAAGGTTTGTTTTCTTCTGCCCTTTACGAATCGTTCTTATCTGTGTGCACATTCTTGGACAGATTCTTCCCCAGTGTAATGCTACTAATTCTGTTGATATGATGTCAGGAGTCTATTAGGTCAATTCTAAAGTTATAGGGCTCAATCCTGTTATTTTAAAGTGTTTTTCTGGCATTAGAAAAGAGCCATAAAATGAGTCTGCATGTGAATTATGCCCACTTCAGTCATAATAGAAAAAAAAAAAAAAATTGAAGCTGACATCTTTCAACAGTGATCCCTGAGACAAGCTTTAAATGAAACAGGGTTTTGTGAAAACAGGAAGTAAAATATTTTGAGCTCTGTAACTATGTTTTAATCTGTGTAAATATATTTCACCAAACTGGGGAGTACACATATATTCAGAAATGTATTGGAACACCTGGATTCTGAAACCAGCCCTTGCTTTGGCTCTGGGCGATGAAAACTTCTTCTGCCTCTATTTATGTCTCAGTAAAGAATCACTTAGGGATTATACTGGCAGATACTGTTCTATTGTGCCTTTCAGAAGTATTCTAAACCTGTTTTATTAGTGCTTATAAAATCAATTCAGATACATAGGGAGAAGGCATTGAAATATTTTGTAGAGGTTAAAAAATTATTTAAATTTCAGGCCGGTGTTGCCCCACAGACCAAACTGTGGGCACCAACCATATATAAGATTCAATAACCCTATATAATATAATGACAATATATAAATGAAAATAACCTTGGTCATCAGATGATTAAATTCTGGAAGAGTATCCTGTAGGAATTATAGGGCCTGAAAACCTATGTAATTGTAGGGTGTGGCTGAATCAGCATATCAATAGTAGTTTATAACATAGTTGCATGTGGTGGAGGAGAGTAACCTCCTTAAAATCCCTTATCCTGGTGTCCCTCGTAGCTGTCAGCCCTTTATAAAATGCTTGGAAGATGTAAATGGTGTAACTTTACAGAGAACATGCTCAGTAATGAGTTCAGTGTTTGACTTAATCAAAAGAGTGATCATTTGTCTTTGAGTGAAAATTACTTTCTGCTTGTCTTTTCAGAGTCTCAGTCTGTAAATTTTTTGTCGGCACTGATTGCAATGGGAGACTTATTTGGAATAGGTGTACAAAACCTGATAACTTTTGAAGACTAGCAATTTCCCCTCTTAAAGGCATCTGCTTGCTTTTCAGTTACTGAGACATTTCTCTGCGTGTCACTGGGTTGCCCCTAACTTCCCAGGTCTTCAGTCCCCAGCTTTGGTATGTATGCTTGGGTGGGCAGCTATCAAGACACTGACCTTCCTTAATGGTCAAACAAACATTTAATTATTTCCTGAGTATTTTCTAATTTAAAAAGGGAAAAGCCCTTGTAAATGCCTGCTGCTAAAACTCTGGTTATATATGCACTGTTGAACAGCAACCAGAATGAGGGAATTTTGTGTGTTCTGCAGAATGGAAATCTAATTTTAATTTATGGAGGAGAGGGTGATTTGACTTGACCAGATGCTAGACATGCAACCTGTGAAACTTCTGTCTGCCTAAATTCATAGGCAAAATAGGCAAAAGGGATGGTTCGAACAGTTTCTCAAATGAGATGTTAATATTCAGTTTTAATGAATAAGTCTTCACTTCACAACTTAAAAAGACTCTGCTATTTTATTTTTAAACATAAGCTGTTTGAGTCCTGTCTCTGTGAAGATCTGTGCCTTAGTTTTCTTAAATTCAAGTTTGTTATTTTAGAGAAAAGGTTAAATATGAACCCTGAAGATTTAAAAACAGCAACAAAAATGAAAAGAGCTCTACATTAATTTTTATTTCAAAATTTCATTATTTCTCTTCCTTGACACATACTTAGGGTTGGGTATATTTGAAAAATAGCTAGCTAAATTATTTTGCTGTATCCAGCAATGTGCTGAATTAGCTATGGTAGGCTTTTTATCTAGCAATTATTCTGCAAGGTTTCCTTCCTCCCTCCCTCCCTTCCTCAGAACAGTCGTTTTTGCAACTCTCACACTTTGGTTGAAGTTTATGACAATTTTGTGTCCTTCACTATCAGTAATTCATTGCTAGCGCCTTCAGTAGTTCCACTGGTCTTTTTTGCCTTGCAGAAGTCCCTAGGAAATGCTGCAAGAAGCAATGTTTTTGAGTAATTTTAACAAAAGCATCAGGCCTAGCTGCCCTGAATGTTCCTGCAGCCCTCCTTTCCAAAGCTGTTATCTTCCACATTCACGGCGAGCAAGGCAGCTGGTTCCTTTCTCCGGGAGGGAGCCTGTGTGTTCTTGCCCTGCCGTTTAACCCCTGTGTGCAGGTGGGCAGTGGCACCTGCAGGGAAGGGTCACTCGCCCGAGCCCGGCGCTGGGGAGGGGTTCAGGGTGTGTGTGCCGTGCCTCCAGCAGGGCCGGCACCTGGATGCTCTTTACTTTTGTCTCTGTACTGTGTTAATGTTTTCGTGTTGTCACTAAAACAAGCAAGGGCTCTGTTTGGACTGAGTGCCTCCGTCGGGGAGCCCCAGGAGAGGATGTTCTGGGCTGTCTGTCAGAACCCCTGTGGCGAAGGAGAGCATCCTCGTTTGCTCATGGATTTGTTCCCTGGATGTCTGGTCTTGTCACTCAGTGCTCATGGCTGGGGTGGGGAGGATGTTTAAGCGCTCTTCACCTTGCCGATGCAAAGCCTTAAAAACAACCCTTTAAGAAATGACCTTTAATATCTGTAGTAAATGAGAGCAGGGAGCTGGACTTGATGATCTGGAAAGTGTGCTTCAGGGTAAAATCTTGTAAAAAAAACCTAAACATTTCAGTTAGTTCAGTTTCTGTGGGGACTTGATTTGAGGTATTACTTCATAATTTCAACCAAAGAAACCTCTGACTTGTGTGACTTTTTGGACACGTGATGAAACACCCCTTTAGGGAAGTTCTTGCAGAGACAAGATACAAAGAGAGTTTGTCTGTGTAAGCAGCTGAGAGGATTGCTCGCTCCCCAGTTTGTGCTGATTTATATGTGACTGGTTGCAGCAGAATAGATGGACTCGCTGCTTTGACTCTACTGTGAACAAGAGAAAAATACACTCAGTTGATAATGTTTTAAATCAAAATAAATAATGATGCTCTCCTTCATGGAAGGACTGTGAAAAGATATTAACAGAAAACAGTGCAGAAAGCATCTGGAACCACCTTTGTCCATCGTTTCCACTACATCTATTTCTTAAACTGTTTTTCTCTTCAGACTTTTTATTAAATATCTTGGTTGCCTTCGGCCCCTTACACCACTGGAACAAAAAAATGACAAAGTTTCAATCCCATCTTCTAGGTTCCATCCAAATATACATTCCTGATTACAAAGCATCAGTCGCCGCTGAGGCTGGAAATGGCCTGTTCTGCTTTGAGGAAGGGGGAGGCGGATCACCAATGGTTCCTCAGGCTGTCATGTTTCTGAGAATCAGCTGTTTTTTCTTTATACTGCAAAGATTAAACAAAGAATGTTAAACATTTCCCAATTTAGCATTTATAATGCAAAGCGGCTGTAGAGCCACAGCTTGCTGCTGCAAGGGCAGGCATTCATACGAGGAGTCGTTTAAAGAGGTTTTTTCTTTTATTTGAAAACCTGTCCAGCCTCCCAGCCCGGCCGGCCGCTGTGCTTTGCAATCAGGTGGAGGCAGCTTTAAATTTTTACTTTCATTAAAGTAGGAGCTAATTTACGTTTGGAAGTGAAAGTTAAAGCATCTCAGCCATCTGCAAAGTGGAGGAGGAGGCAGTGGGTTTCTTTAACTTTTCAAATTTCTACAGTCCTTTTTCACATCAACAGGCAAGCAAAAATTACCTTTCAGAGCTCCTATTAGTAATAATATGTAGTATTAATAATCCAATTTCTTAGCTTCAGTTCTTTGTCTTAGTTTCTAAGATATGCCTCTTGGGTAAGTTCAAGCACCTTTATACTTGTATCCAGGTCAGGAGTTTAGAAATAAAAAGTTGTAGTCTGGAGTTCAACAAAATCACATTTTTTGACGACCAGACAGCCCAGCTTCCTCTGTAGCATTTCATTAGGGGTTAAGTGGAGCACTCTGACCTTCTGTTTGCCATAGTGAAAGCAAAGGACACTTAAGGGTGGCTGGTAAAGAAAAAGAAAAAAAAAAGGAGGAATGGCATTTTCATATACTGTCATTGTATATACTTCTATCATGTATGTTTATCACCCTTTCTTATTTTTCAGTTTTACTTGAACAGTTCATAGTGGAGACAAATAAATTGTTCAGTCTTTCTTAGTTAAGAATTTCACTGTTATGCTAATATGTATCTTATTTCCTGTCAGAATGAAATAAGTGCCATTACAGTTAGTTCGGTTTTATTAAAAGAGAAGCTAAAAATGTCCTTTTCCAGCCTCTCCATTGGCTAGTTTTCAGAAATTCAGTCGTCTTCTGCTATCTCATAGGGACAAGAGCTAAACTTCTTACATAATTAAACCATTTTCAGAAAAAATATTTCTGGTTTCTTGTATAAACTGTAAGCACCGTAAAGAAGTCAGATATCCATTTTCTGCCTTCTCCAGCCTGCCTGCAAGTAGATTTTGTCTAAACAAAATAGCCTTGTACTCAGCTGTCACAAACATTTGTGTATTACTTGGATGTCTACATGTGTAATTTCATTTGCCTCCTTCAGTAGCTTAAATATGTTTGTAGATGCTCGCCCACCTTTTTGTTTCTTAAGGCAAGCTTTTTGCTATGATTTTTTTTATAACTCAGAGTTTGAGTATAAAAAATATTTCAATCTTCTTGTGATTACATTTCTTACAGAATGTTGGAATTTTTGGACTGTGCATCTGTTTAGGCACGTGGAGAAAGACAAGACTGAGATCATGTAAGTCATGAAACTGAGAGTGAATAATCCATACTTTGTTCTTTCACCATTTTTTCAATTTATACCCAGATGCAAGTAATAAACCAAAATGAAGAAAAGAACCAACTAGTTAGCTTTTATTTTTAAAGTGATTAATGAAAAGCAAAGTTCAAATGAGGCCACAAATCCTGGTGGTGCACAATGGGTTGATTTATTTTGTAAATAGACCATGGATAATTAACCATAAAACAAAACTTTTCTTTTTTATTTTTCTTTTCTTTTTCTTTTTTTTTTTTTTTTTTTTTAATTGCATAATGACACTGGTTTCTTTTAGTTGCTGTGAGTTGCACAGAGGGATAACGACTTATTCACAACTGGTTACAACTAGTTACAGCCAAGAAAAGAAAAATCCCAGAGCAAAGAGACGAAAAAGGCTCTTAAAACCCTACTGCACTTGGAGTTTCGTAGTAAGGCATTTGCTAGTGGCAACAGACTGGGAAAAGCAAGAGTAGATATTTACACTCTCTGATGGTGCTTGCCGTGTTATCCCATGTTTTGGCTCAAAACTCACAAGAAAAAGACAGCTCCTGCAGCTGGTCTTGTAGTCCACAATTTTGTATTGACTTCTAAATAGAATTATCTGTGCTTTGTTGCAAGTTTCCTTTATGTACCTTCCTACTCTTACACTGAGGGAAGAGTCTTCTGGATAGTCATAGTCTGACTTGCTGCCAAGTCCTCTTGTGAGCCAGAGTGATGCTAGCTTTTCAGATATGTGATATGAGAAAACTGTCTGCCCAACATCCCCAAAATTTGTCTCTTCATAATCCACAGTCATCTGTGGAAGGGATCTCTGATGCCCAAGAAGGAGAAGGTCCAATTTGTTGTGAAAGTACATTCACTACTGATTAAAACTACCAGCTGGGATTACAGTCCTGGAGACTGTAAATAAAGTAGAGCATGAGATGTTCAGATGACAATATGGCCACTTTTGTGGTGGTTTGTGTTAGTTGCCAGTACTTAGATTTGCTCATCTCATGCCAATTTATTAGAGTGAAGAGAAGGATCATGTAGGTAACAGTCAATAAGCAAGAGTTTGGAGTGCCACACAGCAACTGACTATGGACACCTTAACTTGCTCTCACATGCCACGTGCGCCTTAAAATGCTTTTGACTGTATTCGTAAGACCTGCAATTCACACAAAGCTAAAATCTGTGTTCATGTCTCCTGTTGGTGCAGCTGTGCTCTGTTTCACAGATGGTGACTCTAAGGGACTTGCAAAAAGCCGTCCTCACTCCAAACAATGGCTTGGGCAGACAGAGGTAGTGGGTAAAAGTGATTATCGCTGGTATTGTTTTAGCTGTGTTGACTCAGTTTGTTACAGCAAGGTTGCAGACTGGTGTTTGTAGGGGTTCTCTGCCCAACCCTGATTTGTGGACATGCAGTTTCCTCTGCAAATGTGGAGAATTTCTTTGTCAGAATGTACTGCGAGACTGAGGAGAGGAGAAGCAGATTATTAATGTCTGACCATCACCTCCACCTGCTTGAGCCTAGTGCAGATCACTGGGAATAAAGATTCCGCATTTTTAGTCTAGATCCCAGTTACAAGGCAAGATCTCAGATCAGCGCTTTAAACCCACAGCTAGAGAACTGATGAGTTCCCACTGTGTTACTGACACTGGTAACTACAACACATGGGCTGCCACTTGTAATCTGCTTTTAGGCCAAAGAGTCAATTTAAAATAGCACTTAGTTTGAGCAAGAGGCTTCTGTTGTGGGTGGGAGTCATGCTGGGGGCAACATTAGCATTGTACTTACGAACAACACTGCAGTGAAGACAGGACCCCAAAAATAAGTTAACTCTCCAAGGCTCAATACAGTCTTTGGCTTCTCTACAGGCCCTCTTGGAAGGGAAGCCAGCCAAGGTCCACTGTGGTAGTGCTAAAAGGATGAGCCTGGCCCATGGCATTCCTCTTGAAACTGCTTTTTATCAGGCTTGTGCTTCTGGGAAGTGTGGCAATGTACGGAATCTGCTGCATACTGTTTATGGGTTAGAACTTGATTTTATTGACTAACAGAGTCCTTGTATCTTGTGACAATCTTTTTCTGTGCTTTGCATCATGCCAAAGAGACAGGGGAGTGGTGTTGGCATGTCTTTGTATGAATAGGTCTGTCATTAAATATTTGAAATAGAAACATCTGAAATAGATCTTGCCTGAGAAGAACAATGGGATAACTAGAGAAAGCCAGTTTTCTCCAAATTTGCTTTTGGGGCTGGGAGTTTTAAGCAAACAGAAGGAAAAAAAAAAAAAAAAGAACAAAGAGAGCAGGTTAGTTCATGGGCTTAGAAACAACAAACCCAGGGAGGTGTGAAGGGAGACAAAGAAAGTTAAAAGAGAAGAGAGTGGAGGGATGCTTAGCAGAGGAAGGGGTTTTCTTGTTTTTTTTTTTTTTTTTAATAACTAAGACCAGCTAAGGGAGAGGGAAGCTGCTGGTAAAAGGATTGAAAATCCTTCGTTCAGAGGAGGCACTGTTTTGTAAAGGCAACCTTTATCACTTGATGTGGATCTGAGCCCAAGTACCATTGATGCTAATGATGAGGATGCTGAGGCATGGACATGCATTTGGGTATTTCTTGTCTTCTGTGGTCTCTGTATCTGTATTTTTATTTTGTGTAGGTTGAGGATTCAGTCATCTTCCTCAGGCAGTTCCTCTGAAATCTTAGTGTTAGGAAAGGGTTACAGGCAGCCTTTGCTGCAGGCGCACACAAGATGAAGGGCAGGATTTTCAATTACTTTCAGATTGTGGAAAGTTGTTTGTTGTCAGCACATGGGTCCAGTATGCAGAACACAAATTTGACAGTCTACTTGGTGTGCAACAGGAAAAACTCTGTTAGAAGTAATTGTAGTTCAAGCTTTTGAACAAGCCTTTGTGTTTTTCTCCCGTGCTAATAACCTATTGGTGAGGATATGCAAGCCAAACTCCTTTTATTTTAGCCACTCTTATCTCCTCCCAAATACCTCTCCCCAAATCTAATACCTAAAAAACTCCACAAGAAAGGTAATCCCAACAGTTTTCCCCAAGATTTTGCCCATCTCAGTCTTGCCAAGTGTGGCATCTTTGGTTGTAGTAGGGAGGTTCAAGTTGTGGTTAAAAATGTTTTCATGGGGAATTAAGCAGTACCCTTGTTTGAATACTTCTTCTCCAAGCACTGCATTCAGAAATGCACTTTATAAGAAACAAAAATTTTTTGGTTCTTACTGAGGTTCTGACCACGTTACAGAAATCCCTCACCAAATGGCATGGGAGACAAGCCCTTCCCATAAGCATCTCGGTGCTGAAACAGCCAGGGATGACTAGGAATGATGTGCTGTGCTTCAGCTCTCCTTCTGGTCTTCCTAAATGAACAGTTTCATGTGTTGGCACTCCTGCTGCTACCTGATCTGGGTGAAACCCCTCAGTTCTTCCCTGTTCAGGCCAAGGTTTGTCTTATAGTTTCGGTCAAGCTTCACATGACTTCATGGTATTTTGCATTTTAGTAATTTGCAAATGTATGAGCAGTGATCTTTCTTAGTAGGTGAAGCAAACAGTTAAAGGAATTTTAGATGTTAAATATCTTATTAATCACAACTGCTCTTATATTTTTCTACCAATTAAGTTGAAGGTTAAAGGGCAGAGCAGAAACAACTTACATTCCCCTCATTTCTCCTCACTTCAGATTCTTCTGGAGGAGTAGGACTGTCTGTGGCTCTCAGTCTGCTGTTTTATCCTGCTCAGAACTAGTTCTGATACTTCCCCAAATGGCAGCAGGAATGAATGGTACTTGACCCAACAAGATATGTGTTAGTTGTTACATAACTGGCTGTCTGAAGAAGCCTCTTACCTTTCATACATCAGTAAGCTCCACCAGTTCTTGGATAAGAGCAGCATATCAGCTGGATTCTTAATAAGAATTCGATTGTCACTGATATATTGGTAGTATTGTAGAGGTATCACAAGCTTCTGAGGCTCGCTAAAGTGTACTGAAGGTCGGGACTAGAAGCACTAAAAAATACTTACTGGTATTCTATTTGTATGAAAATACTAGTTTATTTAAAAAAAAATACTTCCAGGATTCTTATTTGTTTTTTCTATTCATATTTCCAGATAAAGCTTTTTGGCATTTGTGGAACAGAAATGCATTTGTTTCAAACTTTTATTTCAAAAATGTATTTTATGTTCTAATATTAAATTTAAGTCAAAACTGAAAGTAGCTATCAAAACAAAATTATTTTGTCAAAACAACATTCAATTGATTGAAATGATTTTTTTATTTTTGTTTCATTGGTAACTTTGCAATGCAGTGTTTAATTCAACTGTGAAACAAAAGCAAATTTCAAAGTCTAGGTATCCTGTGAAGCAAAAATACTGCTTCTAGATGGTGCTTAAAGGAGTGCTTCATTAGAATTCCACTGAATCTTTTTAATAAAACAAAAAAAAAAAAAAAAAAGTGTGAGGACCTGACAGGACAAGAGGAAGGAGGCCTCAAGCTGTGCCAGTGGAGGTTCAAGTTGGACCACAGGAACGTTTTTTTCACTGAAAAGGTTGTAAAGCATTGCAATGGGCTGCCCAGGGAAGTGGTGGAGCCACCATCCCTGGAAGCACTCAAGAAATGACTGGATGTGGCACTTAATGCTGTGGTTTACTTGACATGGTGGTGTTCAGCCAAAGGTTGGACTCAATGATCTTGGAGGTCTTTTCCCATCTAAATAATTCTGTCGCTTAGACTACACTGAAATCTTCTTGTATTGATGTTATTCTGTCTTTGTTCAGTAACAGCTGATCAGCACCCAGCTCTCTATAACTGTATGTAGATCTCCCCTGGAAATGAATTCTGTGTCTCTTCTCAGCAAATTGGGAAGCCTTTGATACTGTTTCAGCTCTCCTGACTTCCATCTCTGTGGGCTGATTCTGAATCAAATTTTGGGTCCCATCTGAGTCCAGCTGCTTGCATAGGAAGCAAACAGTTGAAGGTAATTATAGT